GGCTACAAATTATATACAACAATGGAGCTTCTGCCTCCACACTCTTTTTTTGGTTTTAATTTTTTAAAAATTCTCTGCCTTGAGATCTCCATATTGCAGGAAGTCAAGGACAAGCGCTCCTATTCACTCCCTAAGGAAGCCTTTCTGGAGGCAAAAGCAGAGTTTGGGGCATGAACAAACATGCAAGGAGAAGGAGGAAAAACATTTGAAATAATAAAAGATGCTGAATTGACAGGATCTAGCAAGCAATTCCATATGAAGGAGGTGGGAATTGGCACCTGGACCACAAAGTTGATGGAAATGGTTTTGGTTTGATAAGGAGCTGAGCAGGTTTGGGAGAATGTGATATGAGCACAGATTTGGAAACATCTCATGAGGTGACATGGGCAGTATCCACAGCATGTCCAGTGGTAGAAACACCAGGCCTGCACGGACGGTGCAGATTTGGCAATGATGTGGGCTGCTCTGAAAGTGCCATGGAATCAGGAGAGGAGAGGCACAGGTTGACCCACGCTGATCCCCGTCCACTCCGCCTGCCAGAGAACAGAGCTCTGGGGTGAATCCAGCAGGAGAGTTCCAGAAAGCTCCTGCCTCACCTCTGACTCACATTGGCCTCTGTCCCTCTGGTATGGAGGTCACGCTCAACACCCATCCTACGTTTCTTCTCCAAAAATAAATTAGGTCACTCATTTACAAAGGAAACTTACCTATCACCGTTAAAATATCGGAGATTTCTGTCTAGGCCATCTATGGCTTTCATGTCCTCTGAAGTCAACTGGAATTCAAAAACCTATCACAGAAATAAAAAATGTTGATTATTTTTAGATTGCATAATTGCCAGTTGTGAACCCACAAGTATATTAGACAGTTGGGTGCAGAGACAATACTTAAAATATTGGTAAGTTTTAAACAGTTATAGAAGTCATCTCTAAACACTCAGGTGGTCAATGAATATCAAATGAAAAATAAGCAGAAATCCATTCCTAGTTATTATATATTGAAACTGCACAACACTGCAGACAAAGAAAAAATCTCAACAGAAAATGGAGAGGACACAGAGCTGACATTGTGCACACATGATAGGGTCATATACTTAGAAGACCCATAAGAATCTAGAGGCAAATTTTTAAATAACGTAAGATTATGTAGTAAGTTTGATAGATATTGTTGAATTTCTATATCTCTTTAATAAACAGGTATAATGCAAACAACATTTGTTTTCAACATAATTCAAGGCAGGAATTGTCTAAATACTAACAATTTCACATTTAAAGGAAACAGATACAGGCTTGAAGTGTATCTCTGTAAATTTGAGAGACTTTAAACATCAAGAAGATGTCACTAATTGCTAATACATTGAATTGAATAAATCTGTAAATTGAATAAATCACTCTAATAGTGATAGAATGAGAGAGAGAGAATAAAAAGCATTAACAAGTTAACAATTAATGAGTCTAGGTAAAAGGTGTTCACTACATTTTTCTTTTAACATTTTTATACATTAGAAAATCCATGAAAAAGGAAAACTCTATGAAGAGATTCTAATAATTTTCAGTATTCTATGGATAAATATTTGAAAATATATACATATGGTTTAATGGAGAATGTTACAAAATTAATGAAATATATATTAAAAGGCCATTTAAATAGTTGGAAATTCATTATGGGTTGAAAATCTCAATATTGTCACAAAGTCTGTTCTTTTCACATTGAGCTGCAGTTTCATTACAATATCAACCAAAGACTAAAATGATGTTTCAAAATTTCATAAAACAAAATAGTCAAGAATAATCAAAATATTATCAAATAAAATAAAGCGTTAGAATAAAAGTTGTACCATTCTGGTAGCAAGACCTTTCATTATTTAGACAGTACAGAAAAGTAAGTCAATTGAAGACAAAAGAGAGGCAGGATATTATTTGTGAATGTTTCATTTATGGTAGAGGTAAAAAATCAAGATATGTGAGCAAATGTGAACGCTTTTCAATAATTGTTGGTGGGACCCTTTGATGTCAATTTAGAAATTCCATGTGCATATTTCGATTTTTATTATACATTGAAAAAGAAATTCATTTGAATTTACAACTAATTTATAAGTAAAGAGAATTATCAATTTTGCAAGATAACATATTAAAAGATTGTCACGTTCCCAATATAAGAAAAGACATGCCACTCATCAACCACAGGAAAGAGGCATGAATAATTTAATTACATGAAAAGTAGCAACATTTGTTCATGAAAACATAACTACAGAGAAAATCACAACACAGATGCAATTTGGGAGATGGTACTTCAATACATCTAAATCTCTAAAGGAGTAATACCTGGAATATATATATGAATATATAATATGTGTAATCTATCATATACATCTTATTAAACTATAATATATGTATCATTCCATCATATAGATTAACCTATCACATATATAGTAATCCATCATATATTAATCAGTCATATATATGAGATAGATTAATAAGAAATACTCCCTCACCAATTAGGCAGTCAATCTGAGATCTCATCAGAAATGCAGTTCTCTCCTCTCTCTGAGGCCACTTGAGACTACAGGAAACGGAGGTTCTTGACCTGA